GATTTGAAGCAGATATTCTAAGGAAGGTTGTAATATAAGATTGAAAAGTGAGGAAATTTGAGAGGGTAAGAGTTTTTGATTCCAAATTTTTAAAACTATACAATTGTTATTTACACATTCTCAATAAAATATAATAAAGCAATACTAAACATTTGCTCTTGCTTAATCTATATAATATAGCTCAATAAGCTTATACTTTTATTATTATTATACCTTTTATTAACAGTATATGTACTATGTATATACTAATGATAAACTTTGTGATTATAAATATAACAAAGAAAAAAAAATTTTTTTCTTTCCTTACAAAAAAAACTATTTCTTTCTTATAAAAAAAGAAAAGAATATTTTTTTCTTTATAAATAAAAAAATTGATAGTTTGCGAAGCAGATTTTCCTCAAACACCTGAAGCATATCAGAATATTGTCAATTATCTTCATAACAGAACTATATCTATATTGATAACCTCCAAAAATCAATGGAACTTTAAGTGCAAGATAAAAGTGTAGCACTTAGAAAATAGCTATCTTTATGTTCAAATTAAGGATTTGTCATTTCATTTCTATGTAAAACTTGAAGTTTCATAATCTTTGCTTACCCAATTTTATAACAATAATCATTATATTAATATGAATGATTGTTATAAAAAAATTATACCACACTATATTAGCATCACAAAAAAAGAAGTTTGTAAGTATGTTTGAAACTGTAACACCAGTAATCATACTACCTTAATTAAAAAAATGACCTAATGCTAGTTGTAAGATAGTTCAATAGAACACCTTCAAATAAACCTTATGGACTTTGCAATATACAAGGATATAAATGATGGGGTTTTTTGGCTTTTTACTGTGGTTTGTATCTTTTTAAAATTTTTGTAGCCAATTTTAATTAAATCAAAAGAAGCCAATATTGTTGGTAAAGCTTTGATTTCTCTATTTTTGTAATAGGTACACTATCAATCTTGCAATCTGACAATAGTAAAAAGCTTATCACCAATGTTATTAATTATATTTGTGAAGAACTTGGAATTACAATTCATTATAGACATTCAAAACATTTAATATCCCAAGGACAAGTCAAATATCTAAATTAAACAGTTGTCATGGATTTACAAAGATGCTATAGAATAAAGAACAGCAGTTGCAAAATATTAATTAGAGGATTATTTACTAAAATTTATTTTTTCTTATAATACTATATAGCATAGTGCACACAGTAAAACCCCTATAAAGTAATGTTTGAATATAAGCTTCTCAGCATATATTAGCAAGTCAATTCTAACAAGTAAAAGTGCAAAAAGCACTTTAACACCTCAAACTATAGAAAATTATTAAAAAATATTTTAGAGATTTATAATCAAGTCAATAGAAAGCTTGAAAAATTGATGAGTTAAAAACTTAAACATTCAAGTATTTACTGTTACAAGAATCTTTATGAACCTGGCCAATCAGTTGCTTTAGCCCCTGATACTGACATAAATTTGTTAACTTGAAAATGTAAACTTTAAACTATATTTAAGAATAGTTGATATTATGAATAATAATAAATGGTTATTGTTGAAACCTCTGATAAAAATAATGTGTATTATTCTACAAAAAGGGTTTGCTATTTTAAAAAAATAATAAAAAAGGTAAGTAATAATAAAAAAAAAACTCTAATAATTTCTACTAATTTAAAAAAATATATATATAAGATGAAAAATTAATTTGTAATTTTTTTAAAATTTTACTTATCCAATTTTATCTTGCTAACTTTTTCTTTAATGGCTTTTTAGCAACATCTCCTTCTCTACAAACACTATCTTCTGTGTCACCTTTCCAAAAATTCTTCCCTGCTACATCTGTTGTACCCCATTCTGCAGCTAATGTATTGCCTTTTTTATCTTGAACCAGGTTGGGTTTTTTGAGCTGAGAAATTGGAATTAAAATTAGAATATTGAATTTTTAGGGTGCAATTTAGATATTAAAGCCTGTAAAAAATTCTATATGCTGTCTTATGTTTGTCTTCACAATAAAAATAAAAATTATGTATTGCCTAAAGTTGGGCAATCTTTATATTAAACTGCAACAATAATTTAAAACAAATATAGTTTTTTTAATAAAATTAAAATATTTTTTAAGCAGTTACATATCCAAATTAGTTGAAATTTTAATATTTTGTAGCCTTATTTTATATTAATCTACTTGGAAAATTTTATTCAATTTGAATTAGCAATTGTAAAAATGTTACAGCTAGATTTTAATAAAATTCAAATATATATAATAAAAAACAAAAAAATTTAAAGTTTATAAATTTATAATATTGTTAGCAAAGCTTCAGTAGTAGATTTTTTAACAAATTCTAACCAAATTGGTTAAATTTTTACTATAGATCGATATAGTATTAAGCTATAGCATATAAAAATTTTAATCTGGGGTTGGGATCCCATAGCCTAGTGGTCTAGGTTCCAAACCCTCCACAAGCAGGTTTTGGGTTCAAGTTCTAGTAGGTATGTTTATCTATAAATATTTGGAAGTATCTGCTATAAGAAATCCAAGTAAATACAGATCTGGATTAGGAATTTCCAGAAAGAGGTTTATTGTATAGTAGTTGGTACTATGTGTAACAGAGACCATTACAGAAGGTTCTACTACACAAAGGTTGTGCGTGTAAATCCACGATTGGCAAAATAGTACCAGCAACCTCTAATGCGGCATTGGGGATCTTGTTTGGGAGAACAACTAGATGGTAACTAGAATTGGAAATAATGAGAAATGTAGTGAACACAAAGAGACCTGTGATAAAGAATTGGCCTTACCAGATTTGGAACACCTCTGGCATCTGTACTACTACTAGATTGAATAGGATTTCCTTATATAGAGTAAAGTTGGCAGGCAACTTAGAATACACTTAAAACAGACAAGGCACAGCAAGGTTATACCCAACTAGAAGTACTTTCCTGGTCACCAGGTTACTAGAACCACTTTAGTTGTGCATTCTTTGGCTACTTCAGTAGTATGACTAGGGGTAAAGATCCTAGAATAAGATCTGAAAAAAGAAATAAGTATAAAACAGGACACAGGAACACCAACTTTAAAATACCAATATATAATACTAAAAGTAGTACAATATGTACTCCAAAAAACTTGGTTGAAAGTTTCGATGCCTATAATCTGTAAGACCCACCAATTAAAGAAGTATCTGTTATCAAGTCCTGCATGCATATTATTAACACTATACATAATAAGGAAGATTGTGCTTGAGATACAAACTGGGTTACAACAGCATTACAAATAATAGCTTGAGATATGAACTTAGTAATGGCAGACAACATGTACTAGACCAATCTGGAGGTAACCATGAGGTTATGCTTGCCTGTTGTCCCTAGTGGGATCATAATAGATACTGCACTAGAACAATATTGGGAGTGTAAGGTTGTTAATATGAGAAATGTGAGGAATATATTAGGTTAGAATAGGATATTTATTTAGTAGTACACAAATCTAGGTAATACATGAATGGGACATGAATGGCTCTGGTAGGTATAGATCATAGATAATTAGTCTAAGCCACTGTTCTATTAATTGTAGTATAAATGTATGTAAATATGTATATACTTAATAAATAACAAGAAGCAAGATCTCACCTTAAAAAAAAAAAAAATTTTAACCAATTTGGATTAGTAGTTTTTAAATAATTGCATAAAAACCAAAATTTATTATATAATTTATTAGTAATAAACTTATTATTGAATTACTATAATAAATTTTTGCTTTTACAATTCTAAATTAATTATGATATATTGCAATTTTATAATTAAAATAAATTATTTATCATATAAATTTAATTTAGATAGCATCACAAGTTTCACATAACAGAGTGCACTACTTTAAGTGAAAATTAGCGACTATTTTTTTATATGTATAATATTACAAAATAATTTTTATTATTTTTTATTTAGCTTTAATCAAAATAACCTATTTTTTTATTATAATAATTTTTAAACATTTTGTATTTACTAAAGTAAATTTTTACATTAAATAAGATAATATATATATATAATTTTTTTTTAACATAAAAAACTTATTATCTTAAACAATTACTAACATAAAATAAGATATAAACCAAAAATACTCTAAACTTTTTCATTCATTATCATTATTAATAATAATTTTTCTTGCATAAACACGAACCATATGGAAATACATGTCATACTCGTATTCCTCTTTTTTCACAGTTTCAACCAACTCATCATATTCATCTTCATCAAAAAGTTTTGCCACATTTGTTAAAGTATGTTTAAGAGATAAATATAAATAATTCATATTATTGATAGCCTAATTTATTAAGTCGTATTAATAACTTATGAATGATTTCTAAAACAAATGCAATTTTGTATAATACATTACCACTTTACTAAGTTCAATATTATTTGACCTTTTACCGTGATAACATTGTTTTACTTCTTTTTTAATATTTTCTAACTGACCTAATTTAAAGAAAAATTGAATTAATTATTAAAGAATTAAAATCTATAATTTAAATGATAAAGGGTAAAAACCTTGATTTTGTGCATATCCTTCTAACTTTTCGTATGTATCCCAATCTACGCCTTTCTTTTCCAATGCTTTTGCCACTTTTTGATAATTGAATAGAACATAATATAAATAAAAAAAAATTTCGAATTTAAAAGATAGTTTTATAATACATACTCGTGTACCATAAACGTTTCTCAGCAGGTCCAACATCAAGCATTCGAGAAAATTCACATAACTGAATTGAAAAAGAATTGATTAAACCACATTTAACTAAAGAATTTTACATCAGTATTTAGAATTCACAAGAGGTGAGATTCACAGATTATTTGTATTTCGTTAGCTATTATAAATTCTTAAAGTTGGAATTGAATTTGATTTGATTGCCCAAGACATTTTTGAGAAATTGAGTATCCAATGAATTTCACCTCAGGTGAATGTTAAAATTGAATTTTTTTTAGAATTTTAGTAACCCCGTGATCTTGCATAATGATCAGGGGGATTATCATAGTAATGATAAAATTCAAATAATAAAATTACCTCTAAGTATCCACCTGGTTTTAAAACTCTGACCAATTCATTAATTACATCTGGCCATTTCTGTTCTGGAATTGCAGAAACCATGAATCGTTGAAATATAAAATCAAAAGTATTATCATCGAATGGTAATCTTTCTAGAACATTTGCTTTAATGAATTTAAAATTACTGGGTTTTATATGTGTGGGTTGATGTGGTGATATATCTATTCCGACAATATCAGTCGATGGATAACTAAAAAATAATTATAATGTAATAAGAATTGAGTATAGTTCGAGCATTTTTGCACTATACTTCATCAGATTTATATAAAAAGATTTACTCACGTGGTTGCCATATCAAACGACCAGGACGCTGCGCCACACCTAGAATGCATTACGTATAATAAGTGCAATTTAGTGCCAAATTTTTAAGATAACGATTTTTTTTTTCTAAATATATGTGTGTATACGTATAATCAAGATTTGAACAGATCAATTATATTATGCCAATACGTTAAGATTATAAATGTAAATTTGAGTTAATTTTTTAATTAAATTGTTTAACTAAAAATAATGGAGAAACCAAAAAATTCTGTTTCAAATTTATTATGAGAGTTACAATAAATGTTCTACTGAATATTTTATGTTTTAGTAAATATTCATCGCGAATATTTAGGTTTCAGTGATTATTCATCGTGAATATTTTAAGTTTCAGTGATTATTCAACGTGAATAATAATCTTCATAGATCAATTAAATTCAATTTTAATAAATTATCATGATAACATTTACGTACCCAACATCTAAAATTTTGGATCTCGATTTAGACAAAATATGTTCGATGGGGGCAGAAAAATTGCTTTGCCAGATATATCTTATCAAAAAATGTTGTAAGTGTAATCTATCTGATTCTTCTTCATCATTTGGTAGAACATATATGGCTTCATTTACATTATGAAATCTTCTACCATCAGCGTATAAAAATTCGTTCTGAGAACTTTGTGATTTGATAGACTCAGACTCAGCTTTTTGACTCAATTTTGATGTTATACATCCCATATCAATATTACTTTAGATATAAAAAACACGGGAAATCTAAATTTTGACAAATGTTAGAGAATTTAAGTAAAAAAATTATTATTAATTGTTTATAATTGTTTATCCAAAAAAAGGGATTAACTAAATTAATAATAATAATAATAAAATAAGATTCACGAAATTAATCATATGTTTATTTATTTATTTATAATCCCATTCAATGAATCAGAATTATACGTAATATCTTGAATGACTTACTCAAATAGTTAAAAATTGATTGCACAAATTTTACCCATTATTATATAATATTTTACAGACATAATGAAACTAATCTAATGAACAAAGAATATCTAGTTGCCGTTACAGTTGAGTTTTTTCCGTAATTTGTAAATGCTCTTATTCATGAATGGGCATGTGTAATGCTTGTCTAGTCTGTGGTTGCATAATAATAATAATGCAATATGTATAAAGATAGGAAAAAATGCGCATGGATGCATAAAAATTAAATAATTATTGGCAGAAAAATGTGCATTGTCCCATCTATAGATATGTATATTAGAAAACCCTTGATTATCTTAACCAAAGAGAAAGAGAGTGCTCTCGAATGGCGAAGTTGTTTCTATTTTAAATTATATGTAGTAACTATATAATTAAAATGTTAGTATAAAATAAATGGTTTCTAATAAATTAATCGAGACACACTACCATTCGAACTTAGTAATAATGATCAATTTTTTATACATCAACTTTTTCTCAACAACTAACAAATGATGCACCAATTTAAAGCAATGATAATTTCATAATAATCAGCCTAAAGAAGAGTATTTACTTCGAATTTGTCTAAAAAAACAGCACAATTAAGTTAAGTTGGAACAATATTGCTGTTCGGAATTATTTGAGAGATGGGCATTATAGCGTTTATTGTAAAATTTTAATCCTAATAGAGTTCTTTCACACTCATTCAAAGATATTTTTCACCCTTGTGCTATGGTATTTTTTTTAGAAAATTCCTTTTCTAAAAAGATGCTTTCACGTTCACAAAATTATTGCAACCAAATAAATTAAACATATCCAATGGATAAAGAAATGCATTATTAGGTTACAGACAAATCATTAAAGCTGTTACACAACATACTGCGTACAATTAAAAACAAAGATCCCGAAATAATTGTATACATTTACCTTTTACAACATGAAAATAGTAGATCCAATTTGTTACAAGCTGTAGATATGTTAAACCAAAATGATAAAAAATGAAATAATAATTCTCGAAATATGACCAATAAATTGGGAGCAAATGTTTAAATTAGAGTCTTTCAAGACAATATAAATAAGCAATTATTTTGTTAGTTAACGCCAATATCTTACGAACGCCAATTAAAATATTTTGTACAAAAAGTTTTTTAATTATCCGAAGTGTGGCGGAGAGTTTAGAATGATAAACAAATACAAAAAAGACCTGGGTCACGCTCATATGATTTCTGATAAATCAGCACTTAAAATTGTTACACAACCTGAAAATAGAAGAGCCTATTTTATGTAGTAATTTTGTGCTTAAAACGAATGCTATAAATTGTAAGGTTTGTTTAATCCAAAATGATAAAAATGGATTAATAATTCTCGAAATATGACCAATATACAATGCCAAATGTCAAAATTAGGGTTGGAAGACAGTATGAACAAGCAATTGTTTTGTTATTTTAATGCCGATATTTTATGAACAGCTAATTGTTTTAATAATTTTAGCATTAAACAAAGTTCTATGAACGTTAGCCGTAAACGAATCAGCAACTCTTGGAGCATCAGTGTATCACTACGAACGTCAAATCTGTATTAGACGATTTTGTGCTTAAATAGACGAAAGTTGCTATTTATAGTACAGTATTCGTTTAAATAATTTGAAATTTTGTTTGACCGTTCTTAAAACACAGCATGAATTTATGTTATTTTATCATATATTTATGTAGCTATTTCAATTCTTGGCTTACTTTTTCAGAATTTTTGTAGTATATATTAATTGATAATTAATTAAAAACAAACAATAAACGAAAGTATAATTTTCTGATTTGTTAATTGATTTGTAGATCTGTACGCTCTACCTATTCATTTAGGTGGAAGATATCAGGGACTGATTTTACAAGGAAAAATAAAAAAAATAATATAAACCTATAAGGTAGCTGCACAACATTGTTGTGAACAATCAAAAATGAAGATACGAATCGGATATGCTTAAAGTCTAAAAAACAATTTATTATTTACAAATTAATAATCATTATTAAAAATTGATATATGAAAGTATTAGAATATATACTGTAAATACAACATGAAATAAAACAGGTAGCTGCACGGATGGATGCACCAATAAATTACATTCAACGTTTTGTAAATTTAAATTTCTAACTTATTACTGTATTATTTATAATTAGTAAAATATTTACATATTTATTTGACTTTGACATTCATGTGTGTTGTTAGTACGTTTAAATTTATTGAAATTAAGATTAGCTTTTAAACGGTAGCAAATTATACTCTTGAAAGTTTTTAGCAAAACAAACATTTGTTTTTTAAAAAAATTTCTCATTGTATTATGCTGCACCTGATCTTGAAGCTCGATTTGTAGTTCAGGAAATCAGCACCACAACCTAGCACAGAATGTATAAACTTTATTTAATCTTAGTTGCACTTAAAGCAGAAATGATTCAACATTATTGGAGCCCCATCCATGCATTGAACCCAACATGTTTTCACAGATTTTGAATCCAAATCCGAACCAAACTTGCAATTGTGCTTGAATCTGGTTACACTATGATTAATTTATATTAACCAGATATAAAACATAGTATATATATATATATATTTTTATAATACTACTAATTAGTGTTTTTATTTATTTTTTAACCAAAAACACCTAACTTGTTTTTTTATTATGCAATAATTATGTATAATAATTTTTTTTTAAACATGATGAATATTAAATTGGTTTGGTTACAAATTATTAGGTTAATTTTCGAAGTTGTGTAATTTTTAAATAATATAACATATTACACAATATAGGAAAGACTAATTAAAATTCGATATAAGAAAGTTATTAATAAACTCTCGATATAAAAAGGTTGTAAAATTTTTACTATTTGACCCGTTATCTTCTTATATGAGATTTACTCGTATATTCTAAAATAAATTTAATTAAAAAACGGTAAAATAAATATATAGTATAAGTTATACTTTGCCTTTTTTTTAACTTAAAAAATTGATGATAAAATATCAACCAAAAATTCTTAATCATTTATATTATTATTATTATTATCATTAATCTTTCTTGCATAAACACGAACTATATAGTAATACATGTCATACTCAAATTCCTCTTTTTTCGATTCTTTAACTAATTCATCATATTCATCATCAGAAATTTGCAACCTTTTTGATACATATGGCTTAAGGGATTCATACAAATAAGTCATATGATTGATAGCCTATTTATGTTATACTGCGTTAAAAACTTTTTAAGAATGATTTTTAAAATTATTCAGTTTGTATAATACATTACCACTTTACTAAGTTTAATATCATTTGACTTTACACCATGATAACATGGCTTTATATCTTTTTCAATATTTTCTAATTGTCCTAATTTACAGAATAATTAAATTTAGTACTATTGAATTATAATATATTATTAGATGAAGGGTTAAAAAAAACCTTGATTCTGTGCATATTCTTCTAACTTTTCGTATGTGTTCCAATCTACGCCTCGTTCCTCACATATTCTCGCAGCTTTATGATAATTGAATAAAACATAATGTAAGTAAAGAAATTTAAATCTATAAGATACCTTTATGACACGTACATGTAAACCATAAACGTTGATCTGTAGGTCCAGCATCAAATAGATAAGAAAATTCGCATAACTAAATTGAAAAAAAAATAGACCAACCATAATTACTTAAATAATTTATTGTATTTATAATTCACAAGAAGCGAGATTCACCAACGTTTGTGCTTTATTCACACAAGTTTTTTTTAAAGTTTAAATTAAGCATTAAAGTTATATTCGACTACCCAAAGTACTTTTGAGAAATCGAGTATCCAGTGAATTTCGCCTCCTTTATTTAAATCTCAAATAAGAATACCTCTAAGTATCCACCTGGCTTTAAAACTCTAACCAATTCATTTATTACATATGGCCACTTCTCTTTTGAATATGCAGAAACCAAATATCGTTGAAATATAAAATCAAAAGTGTTATCATCAAATGGTATTCCTTCTAGGACATTTGCTTTAACGAAAGTGAAATTTTTAGGTTTTATCTGAGTAGGTTGGTGTGGGGACATATCTAACCCAACAATTTCTGCCCACGGATATCTAAAAAATAGTTATAAATATTTATAATATAATAAGAATTGAGTATAGTCCGAGTCATTGTTGTTAAATTAAATTATACTTCAGATTTATATAAAAGATTATACTCACGTGGTTGCCATATCAAATGACCAAGAAGCTGCGCCACACCTAAAATGGAATACGTATAAGTGTAATTTAGTGCTAATTTTTTAAGATAATGATGGTAAGTTTGATTTCTAAAATATATACGTATATAAATTAAAATTTTCTTTGAAGGTAACAATTATATTCAAAGGTAGAACAATAACCATTTTTATAAGTATTCTTGGTGTATCACTTTCATAGGTAATTTAAAATATTTCGAAGGTATTTAGAAAGGTTGCATATCACACCAAAGGCTTTTGAAAGAATGTTTTATCGAAAAGATTTATTGTTCTACCTGTGATTATGTCAATACATCAAGAATATAAATGTAACGTTTGAGTTAAATTTTAAATTAGATTGTTTTTTAACTCTAAAATCGTGAAGAATATAAACAATCTAATTAAAAATTTATTATGCGAGTCATAATATATGGTTTAAGTTCCAGTAATTTTTCATCTTGAATAAATTGGATTAAAATAAAATTTAGACCGTTTTTAATCCTTAAATTTCGTTTATAATATTTAATAAAAAAAATCCATTACAATTAAAAAAATTCAATTGCGTCTTTAAATTTTAACCTCGGCGTATTATTCTTAAATTTAAGTTGGTCATATTTTATTTTAATCAAATTTCCTTTTTTTAAATAATATATTATACAACTACAGACACTATTATGACAACATTTACGTACCCAACATCTAGAATTTTGACTTCCGGTTCAGACAAAATATGTTCGATGGGAGCAGAAAAATTGCTTTGAAAGATATATCTTATCATAAAGTGTTGTAAGTGTAATCTATCTGATTCTTCTTCATCATTTGGTAGGTAATATACGGAATCTTTTACATTATGAAATCTTCTACCACCAGCAAATCGAAATTCTTTCTGCGAATTTTTGGAATTTTGTGATTTCAAAGAATCAGCTTTTTCACTTAATTTTGATTTGAAACATCCCATACCAATATACTCAAGAATTAAGATTTTGAAATAAATAAAAAAAATGTAGAAAATCGCAATTTCGATAAACGTTAGAGAATATAAATAAAAAAAAATTTTGAATTAATTATTGTTTATTAAAAAAGATTCACAAAATTAATAAAATGTTTATTATGCTTTGTCGATTGTTTCGGACCTATTGCAACAATAAACCGGATAAATTTATAACATTTTTTGCATAAATTATTAAAATAATTGAAAATCCATTTCACAACATTTAACATTTTAGATCCATCTTTATACATTATTATTAATGGCATGACTTTAGACTCAATGGAATCCCAATGCTTCATGCCGAGAACCATGACAATATGAAATAGTCTAAGAAGTCAAGGATTTTCCTATTATTTAGCTGTTGTTCGAATTTTTACATCATCTAAATTAGTTTCATTTGGGATTTGCTAATGAGTATAAATGCATATGTTGAATGTCATTTATAGTTACACGATATTAGTAATTCTATATGCACCCTTGATGATCTTAATAAAAAAGTGAGAACTTCAAAATAGTAATTTTAATGAATATGTACATAATTAGTGATTTGTTAATTCCGTATTATTAAAGCTTTATTTTAACTACGTATAAATTATGTACAATATAATAACTGCGTTATAAAAAAACTAACTTTATCTATTTAATACTACATATTAGGGGTTATTCAGAGTTAATATATTTCGAAATAAGTAGAGATATAAAAAGTCCTATTTCTGTTTTTAAATTTCTATTAGGAGTTATTCGGAGATAAATTGAGTAACCTTATTTGATGATGTAACTATATAATATAATGTTGTAATAAATTTAATAAAGAAAAATAAATCCTTTAAAATTCTTTTAAGTAATTTATTTTATATTATATACAAATAACTTATAAATAAATAAATACGTGATTAATTTAATTCGAAATCAGAAACTTGATCATTAACTCTGAATCACCCATTAATTAATATTATTCGAGCCTAGTATTTCTTCTTTAACAACCATAAAATAATGTATCGATTCAATGAATAATGGTATTTTTAATAATCAGCCTAAAAAAGGATTCTCACTACAATATGTAAAATTATTTGGAAGATGGACATTATGGAGTTAGTTGTAAAGCTTTTAGCCTTAATAAAGTCCTTCGTATAACCAAAGACAATTTTAAAAAAAAATCATTCTAGAAAGTTTCTTGTACTGAAAATTTTTTTAAAATTACTTTTTTAAAATGATAGCTTCCCACAATGCCAATTAAACTATTTTGCGCAACAAAAATAACTTAATTGTCCGAAACGTGTCGAAGATTTACAATGGATAAATACAAAAAAATAACCGGGTTCGTTCACATGGTTACAGCATTTAAATTACACAACATACTATTTTTAATAACGTATGTACATACGTACTAATAGTACGTATAGGAAAGGTCTGTACATTATTTTGTGCTTAAACCAATACCACAAACTGTAAGATTTGTTTAAACACAAAATGATCAAATATTCACGAAATATGTTTTGTGGCAAATGTCAAACTTAGAGTTGGAAGATAGTATAAATAAGTAATTGTTTTGTTGGTTTTAACGCGATACTTTATAAACGGCAACTTATTTTTAATAATTAGTTTTAAACGAATGCTATGAATGTTAGCTGAAAATGAATCAGCAACCCTTAGAGTATTAATGCATAACTGTAAACGATCACCCATCATGTAACAATGATATTTTGTGAACAGTAAATCTGTACTAGAAAATTTTTGAGCTTATGTGAAACTTGCTATTTATATATTCGTTTAAATAATTTGTGTAAATGCTAAAATGGTTTAACCATTCTTAAAATACGGAAAAATTTTTTGTACATATGTTCATTGTTTTTTCGGATCTTTTCTTTTTCTTCGACGACCGTAACCAATAAAATTTTTGTAAACGCTCTGGATGTGAACAAAGTGTGTTTACTTAATTACTGTAGCACAAGGTATGTAACACAAATTTCATTTATTGACAAAATATTCCGACAAATATAGTCAAAATCATAAATATTATAAAATTACGCCATTTGGAAAATTGAGTTATACAGCTACATCATAGCGTAATTTTAAATGAAAGTTGCAACAAATTATAACTTAGTTACATTCGGCTTATCCCGATACTTTAAGCTTTTAACGCATAACTAAGCTTAATAAAGGATAGTGACAATGATTATCTCCTTGCATTCATTCTTTTGAATCCTTTGTCATCGTGCTCACTTATCATTCGTTCTCACTTTACCGTTAAGATTGGAGCAAAGAGCCTACTCTCTCGAAAAGCAGCCATTAACACTGGAATTCAAATTTAATTTGACTATTGGAAATTATGATTTTTTATTATAACTGGTTTCATAAATTTGATAATTTATTAATTCGGTCTTCGGAAAATTTTTTAGTTGTCTTAGAAAACAGTAACTATCATATCGAATCCTCATGATAATTTGTGAAATATTCTTTGTTATGAAGTTTAAATTTTCCCACACATAATATTTACACCAAGGCATTAAAAAATGACAAGGATAGCTAAATTAAATTTAAATCATTATATAATAGCTTTAAATTTAAATCATTATATAATAGCTTTCAAAGTTAACAAAATAGTATGTTTCTGAAATACTGAAATAAATATGAATAATAAAACTCAGAACTGTAGTTACGCATAATAAACTAAATTGTAGAAAATATGAAAGTTCGGTGATTCCCATTTCATTTTTAAAATAAAATTTTTATTTATTTATGTTTACGTGATAATTATCACATGGACATTAAAAAATATTTTATAACAAAAAACTGTAAACGTGACCATTTACCAGGAACGTGGTGTAGCGAAATGCATTGATTGGATATTGTAAGTTAGTGATTTTCAGGAAATTATTTTTTTAATTCACGTTAACTTTAAAAATTACACATCAATATTCGTGTTACTGTTTCGTATTCGAACTAATAAAATATTTACCTTTATACATATTCTCAACTAACACCGTGCACTCAGAAAATCGTGCCAATGCTGCTCATATAACTGACATTCATTTCACCGAAAACTTATTGGCTGACATCACATAGGGTTTGCAGCAAGTACCACTTATAATTCTTGCTTCATCTTATAAGATTTTATTCTTCTTCTACTTAATAACTATTATGCGACTTCCTCACTAAGGATAGGCTATGTAATAATATGCTAAAATTTAACCTTTACTTATTTTATAAATTATTATATATTATTAAGCAATTTAAGAATCATCGATTACAAATAAACTACATGCGTATTAAATTGGTTTTATTTGAATTAAATGAAAAGATCGATTGTTTGAACGATAGTAACATATTTACAATATCAAATTGACCTTTACCAAATTTAAAAATTCGACATTTCGGTGTAGTGTTATTAGCTGACTTAGTCATCGACTAACCAAAATCACACTTATAAACAATGAAATATATAAAAATTTGCAACATTTTTGCATATTTCATTGTTTATAAATGCGATATTAGCTATTGATCAGTCGATGATTTAGTCGACTACAACACAATTTCGGTGGCATATTGCTTAAAAAAAGCTTTCGAACAAATTGTTCATAATAATACAGCTAATTCTAATGAAACATGTCTAGTTTGAAAATAGTGATAACAATTTGAAGAAGAGAATACAATGTAGACAACTGCAATTTTAATACTAATGATATTACTTAAAACGAAGCAATTATCGAATCTTCCATTCAAACTACACATAAAAATCGTGAAACAACTTTTGAGAACTGGAAATTTTTTGGAAAAACTAATAATATTTAATTGCATTCACATCTGTAATTTACAGCAATGAATGTTTTAAAAAATAAATATTAAATTTAAAAGCATTTGATTTGAAATTACAATATCAAACAACTTAGAAACGAATATTATAAAATAAATATTAAATTTGAAAGCGTTCTATTTGATATAACGATAATCATATTTGTATTTAACTGAAATTGTTTACAAGTATTATGATAAAATTAAGAATGTGCAAGAATATATAAAGATATGTAAAAATTTTACGCTCCATATTTCTCACAAGCTCGCGACATCTTTTAACCCGGCGTTTAATAAGATATAGAGTGGTTGTCTATTAATCAATCGGTTAATGATCACAAACTATGCGGGACAAATGATATGATGATAATAAATAATACAAAAATATAAGGGCAGTGATAATAAGGAATAATAATTTTAAGCAAATTGTTGCAGAAAAGTAGTGAACACCAGATATGTCTGACCCGCATTGCCTCTCTAGTTTATACCAAAGTTTTTATTATTATCAAAAATATAAAAATTAAAAATTTTAACAAGCAGTTAACCTATCTACTGTAAATCCAACCTGTAAAAACTAGACTTATGGCTTGAATAAATAGAATAAAATAAAAAATTGTATTTATGAAGTCTATCATATTTGGATAACGTGAAGATTGCATTTAAAATGGTATTACAAAAGGTCTATATTAGTATTTAATTTTAGCGAATAAAATAATTTGCTTAACCTTTTATTTTAAAATAATATTTTAAAGTGCACTAATTTTTGTATTTGATTAATTCAATAATCTAAGCATAAAAAATCAAATAAATAATAAATTTGTATACTTTAATACTGTAAGATTTAACATCGTAATACTTACCCTTAGAAATATCGGCAGACTCAATCGGTTGACTTGTTAATGATAATTCTTATTTAAAAATATAAAATATATTTTAATCACTTATACATGGCATAATATTATCTTTAAATAAGTTTAAATCATACCTTTAATTGCAGTTGATATTTTTTGTGTGCAAATAATTTTGCTAGTATACATATGATCTTGATGCTTTTGAGGGATTAATGGTAATGTTTTAATAATTTCATCAGCATTTAAGAACTGTTTTTTATTTCATCATCATCATTATTATTATTATCTGATGCTAATATTCCAAGCCAATTTTCAATTTTCTGT